TTTAAAATACTGTTCGCATCGATATTGTTTATTGTTTTTTTACTTGTACCAAAACATTACTACTTTTATCGGTTGCTCTTTTTTTATGTTGTTTGAACCAGAAATATCATCGTTTCATATATTCATTGATAAATGCATACATATCCCATATTGTTTTATATTTCTTTATTGTTAATATGGCTATGCTTACAAAATATATTAGGTATGGCTAACAATCCGGCAGATAAGCAAAGCGTGCCTTCTCATTCGAATGCAATACTAAATCCTACATCAGGGATTAACATGAACTGCATGTCTGTTCGACCACAGCCATTCACCTCACCTCCGCATACATTCTCACCACTCCCACCATGGGATGGTAATTATGGTGGGATGACACAGCCGCCAATGTCATACATGAGCTTGTTAGGCAGTCCACAAGGTTTGATGTTTTCCACAGCCAGTTCTCAAAGTAGTGGACCTAATCAATTTTCATCGAACACTGGTGATTCAGGTGGAAAGGATATTCATGACGTTGATGGTGCGGAGCACACTTCGCCATTGAAAAGAGGGAAAAGATTAGCCCATAAAAAAGGTTCCGTGTGCCAGGTTGAACTCAAGAGGCGTGGCTAATAAGTTTTGGCTTCTAGAGCACGATGATATGCTTATTCCTTATCTTGCAGATTTAGCATTGGATGGCATGAAGCCAGACAAGAACTTCAAGGCTGAAGCTTATAAAATGGCTGCCATGAAAATCAACATGCAATTCAGGACTGATTTCACTCACCTTCATGTCATTAACCACTTGAAATGTTTGAGGAACAAATTCAATGACATGAAAGCTTGTCTTGATATAAGTGGTGCTGGGTGGGATGAAACAAGTAAAATGATTACATTGGATGAGGAAACCTTGAAATCTTAGGCCCAGGTATAACAAATTCAGCATCTATATTGTCACCTTCAATTTAATACATTTGATTCACTACTTATAAGTATTTATTATTGCAGGACAAATCCAATTCTAAGTACAAAGCGTACATAAACAAACACCTTCCTCACTTCAAAAATTCACAAGTTATCATGGGTGATGATCAAGCCAAGGGTGATTTTGTTAGGCCCGTGTACGCTAACATTGGGTCTAGTAGGTCCATACCTATTCCCGATGATGATTGCGAGATTCTAGAGGAGAGTGAAAATGAACCACAGTCTGATGCTTGCAACCAACCACGTTCTGGTACTGTTAACCAACCACAACCCACTACATATAAGACTAAGAGTAAAGACAACATGACTTCATCATCTAACAAAAAAACCAGAAAATTTAATCGTGAAGAGGAAATGATGTGTGCCTTTGTTGAGTCCATGTCTCAGTCAATGAGGAATCAACACGTTATACACTGGACTGAGCAGTTGGCCACAGCGTTAAAGGAACATAGGTCTGAATATTCCGAGGAGTTCCTCGATAGGGTTTTAGACCATTTATATGACAATGAACGTGAAGCTAGGAGGTTTTTTATAAAATCCAAGGAAGGTCAGCAGAGGTACATCACAAAATTAGTTAACGATCAAGGTTGGTCGGATAACTAGTTTGTTGGGTTTCGATTATATTTTAATGGATATTGTTGTGTTAATTGCAAACTATTAATGTTGCAATATGTATTTTCATTATGAAGAACATCTATGTCGTTGTGGGATTGATGAATTGGTATATTTGCAATCTTTGTTGCAGGTAAGTATGGTCGTGGAATGATCAACGAGTTCTTTGAATTTTGTCTTTGCTTTTGATATCAGGTAAATGGGTTTGTTGCTTGGGTTTACTGATGTCGGCTTTTACATTCTGTTGCTTGGTTTATTACTCCATGGTCACACGTGGTTTATGTGGGATTGTTTTGAGCTTGTGTAGCTCCTTGATTTCTTGGGTTTGTGGCTGTTATTAGGAGCTTGTGCAGCTCCTGCTGCTGCTGGGGTTTGTTGCTTGATTGTTTTGAGCTTTGTGCAGCTCATGCTGCTGCTGGGGTTTGATGCTGAACTGATTTGAGCTTGTGTAGCTCATGCTGCTGCTGGGTTTTGTTGCTTGACTGTTTTGAGCTTTGTACAGCACATGCTGCTGTTGGGGGTTTGTTGCTTGACTGTTTTGAGCTTTGTGCAGCTCATGCTGCTGCTGGGGTTTGATGCTGAACTGATTTGAGCTTTGTGCAGCTCATGCTGCTGGGGTTTTGTTGCTTGACTGTTTTGAGCTTTGTGCAGCTCATGCTGCTGCTGGGGTTTTGTTGCTTGACTGTTTTGAGCTTTGTTAGGGATGTGCCTGTTATCTAACAATTTGTGCAGCTCATGCTGCTGCTGGGGTTTGTTGCTTGACTGTTTTGAGCTTTGTGCAGCTCATGCTGCTGCTGGGGTTTGATGCTGAACTGATTTGAGCTTTGTGCAGCTCATGCTGCTGCTGGGGTTTTGTTGCTTGACTGTTTTGAGCTTTGTGCAGCTCATGTTGCTGCTGGGGTTTTGTTGCTTGACTGTTTTGAGCTTTGTTGGGGATGTGCCTGTTATCTAACAATTTGTGCAGCTCATGCTGCTGCTGGGGTTTGTTGCTTGACTGTTTTGAGCTTTGTGGGGGTTTGCCCTGTTATTGGGAGCTTGTGCAGCTCATGCTGCTGCTGGGGTTTGTTGCTTGACTGTTTTGAGCTTTGTGCAGCTCATGCTGCTGCTGGGGTTTTGTTGCTTGACTGTTTTGAGCTTTGTTGGGGTTGTGCCTGTTATTGGGAGCTTGTGCAGCTCCTGCTGCTGCGTGGGTTTGTTGCTTGTTTACTCCCTATCTGCTGGGTTTGCTGCTATTATGTTACATGCTTGATGAGTAGCTCGTGGTTGCATTTTGTGTTGCTGTTTTGGTTTTCCATGCCTGTGGGTTACTGGCTGTTTTGGTTTGCCTTGCCTGTGGGTTACTTGCTGTTTTGGTTTGCCTTGCCTGTGGTTTTCCTTGCACTTGATATGTGGCAATGATGATGATCAACGTTTACTGAGAATGCAATCTAACTTACATCGTTTATTATATCCAGATGAGGCAAAAGGGGATGAGATTGCAGCCTACATTGAATTGATAATGTCTAGGCGAGGCAATTCATCCTTATAATGCAATCTGTAATAAACATGTAAGTTATAGGTGGGGCAATCAATGATGACAAGTTGATCTATTACTGAGCCATACAATATCAATTAGAATTTGTACCCAGTTCAAACAACATTTTTCATTACATCCTCAGTAGTTTTTGCAAGTACAGGTACATGACATGAAGTTTGTAATAATTAAAATAACACAAAAAATTGATAAGAAAATTACAGAAATTTTCCAAACTAGTTGTTGATTTTCGACAAGCCTTAATTCTTTCTTCATCTTCTTTGATTGCAAAATATATTTTTCTCTGTACCTATTTTCTTTGACATATTGGCTTCCTTGGTTGCTTGATGACTCTCCTATTTCTTCAGCCCATTCGAAAAAATTATATTCTTTATTTGTGAATTTTGCACACCCCCAATAACACCTACCCTTATTTTTACCATTCTTGCACACTTTCATCGGTGTTCAGAGATGGCAGTCGCAATAAACTTCATAACTCTGCCAGCACTCTTCTGATATCATTTTCATGTCGGGATAGCAAATTGAAGACAATGGGAATTTTATAAATGCTGAAAATGAGAATGTTTGGATTAATTGTGAGGCCTCAAGGTGAATTTATAGCCACATTGGCCCTCTACTAGCCGTTGCTACAGTGTTCTGACTATGATTTTTGAAATCTGAAATTTGAAGCTTAAAATATCCGTTGCTACAGTGATTCCAGCAAGAAAATATGAATTTTGGTTGCTTCTAGCCGTTGCTACAGTAGGTTTTAAATGTTAAAGGGGTTTGTAGCTGTTGCTACAGTATCTACTCCAAAAAAAAAGGGTCTTTTTGAAGCAAACATGGTGTTATGAATTGGACCAATTCTATAAAAGTGAGATTCCTAATCCTTTGGGTGAAACAAAAATAGAATGCCAAAAAATAGGATTCAATAAAACCAAAACTTGTCTATAAAAATTTTATGGATTATGTTGGAATCCATAAATAAAATAGGATTCCTAATCCTATTCCTACCCTCTATTGAACCAAACAGCCCCTAAAAACATACAACCAAACAACCCCTAAATGATCTTGGATCATGCTTCATCTTACTACTTTGAAACCAAAAACTTTAATGTTACAACTTACAAGGGGAAAAAAAAAGAAAATGAATACACGTTTAAAGCTCTCTAATCCTAATAGTCATTCTCTGAATTTCTTCGGATTTAGACAAAAAAAACTTTCAAATATTTGCTGAATATCATAGCATATTTATTTGATTAATAATAAATAATCTATAAATTATGAATGTTGAAGTATTTTTTTTTTACTTTTTATTTGTTAAAACAACTCGAAATTGAACCCAAGATTGTGAGGGCATATTATAAACTCCCACCCAACCCTCTAGATCATCAGCGGTGGTCGTGAATGTTTAAATATACACGTAATTAAAAGAAACTATTATTTGGTTAAAGAAATTGAATCTAAAACTGACAAAGGGATTTATTTTTTTAGTTAGTCAAAAGTAAAAAAAAAAAAAACATAAGAACATGCACGTAGCAATACAAATTGTAGGGGATTATGAAGCTCTATATAGATATCTGATAACCAAATCAATCGAATATACATCTAGCTGGATCAATCGAACGTACAGCAGATAATTCCTTAAATTGTTTGGCCCTTTTTCGCCGCAAGTCAGATGGGTGCATCGAGTCACGGTCCGCAAATTATTACCCGCACCGACCGCGTCCGATGCGTCCTTCCCCGTCAATTCCTAAAAGGTATCCGTCCTTTACCGCATAAATCCCAAGATCTCACCCCCTCTACTGACAGTTTTCCATTTTTATCTACAAACCCCGAAACAACCGGGATAATTACACTCAACACCCCGGCCCTCAATCTAGTAAAACGCTTTTCTCCCCTCTTTCTTTCTCTGTTTCCAGAGAAGAAAGAAAAAGAGTAGAGGAGAAGCCTCCCCTCTCTTTTTCTCAACTTCGCCCCCCTCAAATCCCGCGAAATTTCTATCGGATCCCCCAGATCTGAGATCCCCGATGGCGGCGCCCTCCGCCTCCCGCCGCCTCCGCGATCTCCAGTCCGCCGCCGGCAACAAAACCTGCGTCGACTGCAGCCAGAAGAATCCTCAGTGGGCTTCGGTCTCGTACGGGGTCTTCATGTGCCTGGAATGTTCCGGAAAGCACCGAGGGCTAGGGGTCCACATCAGCTTCGTTAGATCCGTGACCATGGACTCGTGGTCCGAGATCCAGTTGAAGAAGATGGAGGCTGGGGGTAACGATAAGCTCAACGCGTTCTTGGCGCAGTATGGGATCTCGAAGGAGACGGAGATTGTTAAGAAGTATAATACTAACGCTGCCTCGGTGTATCGGGATCGGATTCAGGTTCGTTGATTCTCTTTTAAAAAAAAATTAGGCTTATTTTCGAGTGGTAGATGCTTGTTATTTTCATTGATTTTCTTTGGATTTTGTATGCTCAACTTGTTAATATTGTGCAGATTTGATTAACATAATCTGTTTCGCTGATTGCCAAATGCTTCTGTATTTGTGCGGCCATTTAATTCTTGATAAAACGGAACTCTACTGATTTTAGATGATCAAGATCTTTCATGTTACGCAGATTCGTGGATCTTCTTGAAAAGATACATTTTTTGTTCTCATTTATTGTGCATTTCGGTAGTTTTATTGAAAATTGCTACAGCATTGAGTTCCATTGTATGATATGAAGATCAAGATTCTGTTATTTATTTACTTATTTCTCTATGCAGGCGTTGGCGGAAGGCCGGCAGTGGAGAGACCCACCAGTGGTCAAAGAAAGCATCCGAGGTGGGTCCCACGCTAGGAAGCCACCGACAGGCCAGAGTGGTGGGAGTTCTGTGAAGAGTAATGGAGGATGGGATGATTGGGACGACGATTTCAGGTCATCAGATATGAGGAGGAATCAATCAGCAGGGGATTTTAGAGCGGGAAACGCAGGTGGAATGAGAGGAGGGCAGCCATCGAGATCGAAATCAACTGAAGATATTCATACGAGATCGCAATATGAGGTATCAGCTGCTAATAAGGAGAGCTTCTTTGCGAGAAAAATGCAAGAGAATGATTCGAGGCCTGAAGGGCTTCCACCATCTCAAGGAGGTAAATACGTGGGGTTTGGATCATCACCGACACCTGCACCCAGAAATAACTCGCAAGGGCAGGGGGATGTGATGTCAGTTGTTTCTCAGGTAAATTATTTGCTACTTCTACTCAATCAGTTAAACATTTATAAGCAACTCACTGTCTACTAGCTGCCAATTCAGAAGATCGGTGAAGGGAAAAGAGATACTTTCTCTTACCTTTTACATGGCTCTAAGATATCCACCTATTTCTCTATTGCTAATGATGTTTTGAACGAGTGACATTTTGTTGTAATATTCAGTTAGTCGACGAATCAGCTATGTTGGTATGGGTTATGTGTCATCACATGTGCACTGAGCATGAAGTACTGTATGAAAATAGACTGCTTTTTCCATTTCAAAATTAGTTAATTGGCGGAAATTGCAACAACATTTAAGTGACGACTAGTTGCTAATACTTATGAAGATTGGTGGAAGGACTAGGAGAACATGGTTTCTCTTACCTTTGCATTGCACAAGGATGTCTACTAAGTAATATTTTGAATGAGTGACACTTCTTTGTAATATCTGATTGATCATTGGTTAATGAAAAAAATCTATGTTGATATGGATTATAAAAATGCATCACATGAGCGCATGAGCATCAAATAATGCATGAAGATTGATCACCATTTTTGTTTTGACAATTGAATTTATTTTAGTGAATAAACTAAAATACCATCCTACCCTGCGTTTACCTTTAATGCATAGTCCTACCTTATTTCTTTTAGCAGTGCCCCTAAGATTGAAAGTTCTGTTGATGGTACTAGAATAACTAACTTTCTCATCCATGCACTTATCCTCATAGTTTCTAAGTAAGATGGTTTGGACATGTACAAGTATGGTTAATAAGTTCGTAGTTGGGGGAAGTGAGACTAATAGATGATAATATTTAATATTTAATGAAATAAGATGATGAGAGGCCTCTCTGCACATGGATGGGGTTATGTAACCAGGATTTGTTAATTTAACAAAGGAAGTGACCTTCAATAGAGCTAAAATATAGAGACACTCATAAAGACGTTCTCGTGGCTGTTCTTTATGCGATGGCTGTTATAACTCGGTTGATTTACCTGAAAAGTTCAATGAAAGTGATATCATCTAAAAGGTCTATGCAATGAGTTTTCTTGTGGGATATGCTTATTGTTGTATGGAAGAAATAAATCTTTGTACATCTACTACATGTGACTATGCGAGGCATTATCTACTAACTATTGTATTATAGCAGCTTATTACAGATTTTTCAGGACAAGCCCATTGCAATGATTGAATTTGAATTTTGAACTAGTATACTAGATAGAGTATTCTAAAGACAGAAGGTGCAGGAGTTGTGGGCAACACAGTTGTTGTTTTCTATAAATTTTGTGGGAGGAATGAGATAGGTCCATGAATGAGTTCATGGGTATATGACATTAAATGTCGAATGGTTATGGTGCCAAGCTCGACTTTATTGCTGGTTGTTTGGAAATATTCCATGAAATGTTCTATTGGCTATATTTACCTATCACGTGGGACCTCATTTAGGCTGGTAAAACTAAAAGCCTTAACAAATATGAAGCTGTATAATTTCATCAAGATCAAAACTTACTAGTAATTTAAGAAGTATTGAACATGGAAGGTGTTACGTAAATATTTATAACTTATTCCCATCCTACTCCGTTTATGCAATTAAGTAGAAGTAGGAACAAAAAATATTAACTTACTCGCTCATGCTTGTATCATATTTGAAGGCAATCATCAAGATATAGAAGAACAAATTGGTAAGGTGTTTTTAGACTTGGTTCTTCTTCTGCTTAGGGCCTTAGATACACATTAAAAACTCTATTCAAAACATTGTGATTTGTTTGTATGATCTTTGTCACAAAATCCATTTATTGTTCATTTTATTTAAAGTCATTTCTTTATAGTTCCTTGAAGTTTCCTGCTTGAATTCTTCTTGTTATCATGTTATAGGTATGTTCTGTTCTTCTTCTGCTTAGGGCCTTAGATACACATTAAAAACTCTATTCGAAACATTGTGATTTGTTTGTATGATCTTTGTCACAAAATCCATTTATTGTTCATTTTATTTAAAGTCTTTTCTTTATAGTTCCTTGAAGTTTCCTGCTTGAATTCTTCTTGTTATCATGTTATAGGTATGTTCTGTTTCCTATATGTTATTTTTCATTCCTCAACTTGATCTCATATTTGCAAGCTTTGCTATTATGTGATTGTTCTCAAGCTGTAGATTTGTTTACCATTCTTTTATTCTTGTCATCTTATTTCTATTGCTTAGTGCATCCTTTTTTAAATTTTTATGCAACATCCTTAGTGCATTCACTGCAATCCCACTCTCACCATCATAACTGGCTCATCATATGGTCTTCAGCTTGTATTCTTCTTTTATTGTTGTCTTCTTTCTTTTGCTTAGTGAACATCCTTTTTTTATTGATGTTTATGCAACTTTATTAAGTGCAACCCGCCCTAATTCTGCTTCTTTCTATGATGGGTGTGGGTGGGGGTGTGTGGGGGTGTGTTTGTTGTTTGGTGTGGTTCGTGGGGTGTTTGCGTGTTGGGGGGGGGTGGTGTGGATGTCGGCGCAAGCGTTGAGGTTTGCAGGCTGTGGCTGCCTTGTAGTGATATATTCTGAATGTTTCTTCACTTCTTTATTTTTGTTGCTTTTTACATTTTTAATGAAAATATCCCATTCTTATATAATACAATTTCCTAGAACTTAATAACGCATTTTTAGGCATCTGAGCATCATTTGATTTTTTTTTCAGGGTTTTGGACGTCTCTCTCTTGTTGCAGCTTCCGCTGCTCAGTCCGCTGCTAGTGTTGTTCAAGCAGGCACAAAGGATCTCTCATCCAAAGTAGGTTTTCCTACTCTTAATGTATTGTTTAATATTTTTTAAAATCACCTTCTGGAAATTTCCTCTGCATATTGACTATCTATGTTTTCTTCCTCTTAATGTATTGTTTAATATGTTTCAAAATCATCTTCTGGAAATTTCATCTGAATATTGATTATCTGTGATTCTCAGGCCACCAAGAGTGAAAAGTAACTGACATAATTAATTAAACGTGATTTTCAATATAAATTATGTTATAATATTATGTCTTCACCAGTTTATACGGCTTATTAAGGTGAACTTTTATCGAGGGTAGAAGTTATAAACTACACTGTAAATCTGTTATTCCTCTTGAGGAACTATGTATACATGTCACTCAGATGTCTTCCAGAAATCCTTGAAGAGTTACATTAGCTTGTAAAGTTAAATAACGATAATTAGTTCTGAATTTTGACAAGTTACAAAACTACTCATCAAAGGCTTCAAGACTCCTAAGTTGATTATAGAGGGTAGGTTTTACAAAACTACACATTAAAGCATCTTGCTTTACCAATTTTTCTTTTTCTTCTTCCCCCCTCCCTTCTGATCTGGATATATATGAAAATTGCACCTTCCCGTATTCTACAGGTTAGAGAGGGCGGATACGATCAAAAGGTGAACGAAACAGTGAGCGTGGTTGCAACAAAAACAACCGAAATTGGGCAAAAAACCTGGGGTATCATGAAAGGCGTCATGGCAATTGCATCACAGAAGGTCGAGGAGTTCACCAAAGAGGGAGGAGGAGGGTTTGACGGTTGGAAACAAGACAATTGGCAACAACAAAACAACACCTCTAAAAATGGCTACTGTCAAGATTTTGGTCAGGGGAGCAAGAACTCGGATAATTCAAGCAGGAATTACAATTCCAATAGCTCTTGGGACGATTGGGACGACAACAAGAATCACAAGGAAGAAACTAGCAAGAAAGGTAATCAAAATGGTGATGACTGGGCCGGATGGGATGATGGTAAGGATGATGATGATAATGGTTTCTATAATCACAGCCCAGCAAATAAGGGTAATGGTCAGAGGTCTGGTTCTCTGTGGACTGATGGTGGCTTCCTCTGATATTTATTCAAGGTACCCTTTTTTTTGCTTTTAACAAATATGAAAATAGGGGTTGCTTGTGACAATGTTTGATGCGTGTGTATTTTATCGTTGAGGAGGACACGGGGTCAACTGCCCAATAATATCATTATATATGTAGTGACCGTGAACAAAATGAACTGTACTTTAGTTTTCCCCCTTTTCTGAAAAAAATGTTATACTTAATTTTTACATTGTTGTTGCTGCTGCGTCTGCTGCTGCTGGTAATGGTTACCATATGTACTTTTTTTACATTCCCTTGTTATTGACTTGGGTTTGGATGGATATGAAGAGTCATGGGTACTTTTTTTAACCGCGTTCATAGTGGTTTAGGTCAATTTTGAGAATTTTAGTTTGCAGTCCATTTAGTTGCGGGCGCTTGTTTCTGTGTATTAGATCGTTTGGGTTTCTGTTAGGAAATGGTTCCGATTGATGTTGCGATATAAACTTCGTCCAGGACTCAATTCCTCGTTGCGGTTTACATCCAAGCCCGAATTAGTATAATAAATCAAAAGGAGGTTTATTAACTACTATACAGCCAAATAAACAATTGCGACGGATCCAAACTAATTTGTGCTTGCCATCCCTACCTGAAACTTTCAGCTTACAAGCTATAAGATATATGCAATTCTTTTGTTGGCAACCTTAGCCAGGCCGAGCAATGTATATTTCTATGGGACTAAAACAAGAAGTAACTTCAGCAATGCCCCATACGACGAGGTACAAAATCACTTACATAAGCAAGGATTAAAGATTCTATCAGAACACGCTATGGAAAGAAAAGAGGTGATTTATATCATTCACATGTAGTTAGAGAGGGTTAGTCTGAAAATTATAGCCCCTCTATTTATGCTGTAAATCATCCCGCCCCTATGTGGGGTGGTTCTGATAGGATCCCGACTACTGTATAAACAGTTCTTACGCCTTGAACATACATATATATAAACCATTTACATCCCCATAACAACCTAATCCAATCGCTGATCAGTTTCACGTCCTTCATCACCAACATCGACAACAACATTCTCACAATCATAAACAACAGCAGCCGGCGTCTCCTCTGAGTGAACCAAATCATGCTGCTGTATCACCAGCACTGACGACACCACTCCATTATGCGTCGACGCCAATGCATCCCCAATGGGCCCCAGCTCCGGATGCTCGGCCACCGTGGCG